ACTCATACCTAAGAACCAGATCCTCTTACTTTACAGTTGAGGAGAGTTTAGGTAATTCGATCATGGACATCATAAGTGAAGCAATGGGAATATGAATCCAGGTCTGCAGATTTGAGAGTCCCACTGCTCATTCCATCATACTACTCCTGACAGATAAACATAAGGTGTGCAACCTATTTCCCATGTCTGTTGTTAAGGGAAAAGTAATTATTTAATAGAAATCTTTGGAGCTCTTTGTCCCCAAGCTCTCTGTTCAGACCCACCATTCTCCCTCGTATTTTAATCATTTCTCTACTGCTAGATTAGAAGTTCCTGGAGGGCAGAACTAGTGTTTTCCTTAAGAGATAAACAACAACAACAACAACAAATAGTTGCCATCAATTTGACTCCAACTTATGTCAACCCATGTGTATCAGAGTAGAACTGTGCTCTATAGAGTTTTCAATGGCTGTTTTTTCAGAAGTAGATCACCAAGGTGCCTCTGGGTAGACTCAAACCTCCAACCTTTCTGTTAGCAGCTTACTGTATTATCCATTTGCACCACCCGGGGACTCCATGATCCAAAAAAAAAAAAAACCCAAACCTGTTGCTGTCAAGTCAATTCCGACTCACAGCGACCATATAGCCATATAGGACAGAGTAGAACTGCCCCAATACGGTTTCCAAGGAGTAGCTGGTAGATTCAAACCACTGACCTTTTGGTTAGCAGCCAAACTCTTAACCACTCTGCCACCAGGGCTCAGGGCACATAGTAAGTACTCAACAAATGTTAGCTATTTGTATTATTATTATCAGTGCATATTGAAAAATATCAAGCATTTTAAGTAGTTGAGCTAAAACGTTAAGTCACTCTTCCCTCAACCTTTTCTCATTCAGAAAGAATTTCCAATGAATAGCAGTGGTTCTTCCTAGTGAAGAGATGTTGCTATGCAGGGACTGAAATCTTTAATCACCAGGTTGGTCAAGGTGCTAAAGCCTTTGGCCTTGGTTCCTATCAGAGACCATCCTGCCCTACTAGAGGGGTAAGGGGAGCAAGAAAGCTGTAGTACATTTCCAGCCTCTAGGGGAACATGTGCAGACAACAATTTGGCTTTTTCATACAAGAAGAAATGTAAGGGAAGGAAGGTCTCACTCCCCTTGGCCTTATAAACAGAGATATAGAGGAATTTTGGCTCCCATACTATCGCTTTATCCCATTACATTCTTATCATTATCTTTATCTCCTGCCAGCCCTCTCTCTAATGTCCTTCCTGTGCTTCATTCTTTCTTGGTCATATAGCTAACAAGCTGTCAAGGGTCTTACTATCCCCTCAGGTGATTCCTACATAAATGCTCTTTAGAGTTCTATCTCCCTTTGAATGAATCTGTATGGTTCCTTTTTCTCTTAAATATGAGAGTCGTGTGTAAAATTCTGTTTTTGATCCAAAACATTTCCACAACTTTCCACTTCTGATGAACCATGAAAAGGGAAATTGGGAGAAATGTCCACCACATGCACCCACTTCCAAGTAAGCACAAATTCTTGGCATTGTAAGGCACTGAGTTAGGTTATCTGGGGATGTAGAGAGGAATCAAGGTGCGGATTCTGTCTTCAAGTGGCCCCCGTTCTAGTAGGACAGATTAAAAGAAACAATAACTGTAATACAAATGATAAATGATGGATACCATGAACATGCCAAGAGGGCTCAGAAGAGCAGAGAAAGGCAAAATGGTGATAGATAGGACATATGGGAGGACTTTCTAGAGCAGTCAGCCTTGGGGATGTGGGCTTGAAGGCTGGGAGAATCTTGACCTGAGAAGGTGAGGGAAGGGCAGGGAGAGCAACCAGGCAGAGGGAATGAAAGGCAAGGAGCCAGGAAGGCATGAGGCAGGTGTGAGAAATGTTATAGATGCATGCTCTTTCTTCATTTAGGAGACATTCAGGAGAGAAGTCAGAGAGAGACTGCAAAAAATAAAGTAGTAGAGAGGAAAATATACCTTCAATAATTAGCAATAATAAATTCTGAAGAATAAAAAAGTAAAGGGCATTTTACAGATTATAGGGCAAATATGTGACATAAGGATTTCATGATTAAGAATAATTAACAACAATCAGAAAACTAGGAATAGAAGGTAACTTCCTCAAGGTGATAAATGTTATTCATGAAAAACCCTCAGCTAACATCATAAAACATGGTGAAAGACTTTAGTTTTTCCCCCTAAGATCAGGAACAAGGCAAAGATGCCTGCTTTCACCACTGCTGTTCAACAATGTACTGGAAGTTTTAGCCAGAGCAATTAGATAAGAAAAAGAAATAAAAGGCATCCAAATCGGAAAAGAAGTAAAACTTTCTATGTGCAGATGATATTATCTTATATATAGAAAACCCCTAAGGGTCCACAAGAAAGCTGCTAGAGCTAGTAAATGAATTCTGCAATGTTGCAGGGTACAAGATCAACACACAAAAATCAGTTGGGCTTCTATACACCAGCAATGAAAAATCCAAAAAAAAAAAACAATTACGTTTACAATACCATTCAAAAGAATAAAATACCTACAAACAAATTTAACCAAATAGATGAAAGAATTGTACACTGGAAACTACAACACATTGCTAAAAGAAATTGAAGAAGACATAAATAAATGGAAAGACATCCCATGGGTTGGAAGACTTAATGTTTTTAGGATGACAGTACTATCTAATACAATCTAGAGAGTCAACACAACCCCTATCAATATTACATTAGTCTTTTTTTGCAACAAAGTTACAATAATCAAAACAGTTTGGTAATGGAATAAGGATAGACATTTAAACCAATGGAATAGAACTTGGAGTCCAAAAATAACCCCATATATTTATGGCCAATTGATTTGACAAGAATGCTAGGTTGATTCAATTAGAAAAGAATCAACTGGATTTTACATGCAGAAGAATGAAATTGGATCCTAACCTCACACCATATAAAAAAATTAACTCAAAACGGACCAGCAACCTATGTATGAAAGCTATAACCATAAAACTCTTAGAAGAAAACATGTAAAATTTCATGATCTGGATTTGGCAATGGGTTCTTACATGATGCTAAAAGCATGAGCAACAAAATAAAAAAATAGATAAATTGGACTTCATCAAAATGAAAAAGTTTTCAGCATCAAGGGACATTATCAAGAAAATAAAAAGACAATCTACAGAATGTATAAAATATTTGCAAATCATGTATCTGTTAAGAGTTTAATATCTAGAATATATAAACTATATAAATAACCCAATTGAAAAACAAGCAAAAGACTTGAATAGATATTTCTCTGAAGAAAACTCATTGCCATCAAGTCAATTCCAACTCATAGTGACCCTATATAGGGTTTCCAAGGCTGTAAACCTTTACGGAAGCAGACTGCCACATCTTTCTCCTGCAGAGCAGCTGATGAGTTAAAACTGCCAACCTGTTGGTTAGCAGCTGAGCTCTTATGCACTGTGCCACCAGGGCTCCTTCATGTCTCCAAATAAGACACACAAATAGTCAATAAGCACATGAAAAGATGCACAACATCATTAGTCATCATGGAAATCAAAATCAAAATCATCACATCTACTATGATGGCTAAAATAAAATCAGAAAATAATAAGTGTTGGTGAGGATGTGAAGAAATTGGAATCCATGTACATTTCTGGTAGAATGTAAAATAGTAGTGCAACTGCTGTGGAAAACAATCTGGCATTTTCTCCAAAAGTTAAATATGGAATTACCATATGACCCAACAATTCCACTAGGTATATACCCAAAACAATTGAAAGCAGAGACTCAAACAGACACATGTACAACAATGTTCATTGCAGAACTATTCACAATAGCCCCAAAAGATCCAGAAACAAACAAGTGTCCATCAACAGAAGAATGGATAAACAAAATGTGGTATATCCATACGATACAGTATTATTTAGCCATAAATGGAAATGAAGTTCTGCTACATGCCACCACATGGATGAACTTTAAAAACACTATGCTAAGTAAAATAAGCCAGACAACAAAATGACAAACAATGCATGATTCCACTTATATGAAGTATTTAGAACAGACAAATTCATAGAGAGAGAGAAAGTAGATTCTAGGCTACCAGGGGCTGGATGAGGGATGAATGGGCAGTTATTACTTAATGGGCACAGAGTTTGTGTCTGGAGTGATGAAAAAGCCTTGAAAATAAATAGTGGAGATGGTTGCACAATGTTGTGAATGTAATTAATGCCACTGAATTGTATACTTAAAAATGGTTAAACTGGCAAATCTTAGGTTGTGTATATATTACTACAATAAAAAGACATAAAAATTTTTAAATAAGAATAACTAACATATTCTATCAATTTCTCAATCATGAATATAAAACTCTAAGACTACCTACAGAAATATAGTTTATAAAGAGGTAATTTTAAGTGAACTGGTGGATCACACTTCCCTCACTAAAAAAATTTTTTGCTTGAGCCACTGAACTAGTTATAAGTCTAATACTTTCCAACTACTTTTCTCCTAGCCTAGTTTTAGAAACTATTACCTAAAGTGAGAAGGTACACATTGGATGGCTTCAGTCAGGAATCTGTTATTTACCCACAAAGTCATTTCAATGATTTCCAAGAACCAGTATCCATTAACCAGACTAGTTTCAAAGTAGAGTAATATGTATAACAGGTGAACACTAACACTGACAGGCCTAAGAGTGTCTGCACCATAGTATATCTTACTATCCTCTGCCCCAAATTTAGAAAGCTCCTGCATAGTAGTTCTCTATCACAAACTCTGTGAATCAGTATGGTCTTCCGTTTCTCCTTCAAACCAAAGACGTGCAGTATGTTCAAAAAAGATCCACACAAAATCATAGGCAATTAACCAGTCTCAAATGGTGGACCTTGAAATAGGAAAAAGTCCCTGGTCAGCATTTCAGTGTGCTCCCAGTTCCAGCTGATGATCCCAGCACAACACGAGGCTAGATGACATGGCCTCCAGCCAGGCTTTCTTTGTGAGCTTACCATATACCACATGCTTGGCCACTTGGGATCATTGAAGTAAGTCGACTGGGCACGACTGAGGTCATAATCCCTCTTCGTCCTTTTTTTTACCACTTGCTGTTGGATCCACTCCACCTGCCAAGAAGAACAACATTTGGTGAGTGTTCAAGATCCATAAGGGTTAGCACAAAATAAATGACAGTCTCGGATTTTTCTCACCTCTAGTCAATGCTGTTTAAGTCACAGGCTTCATTCTGGTGACCAAAATTTCTGAGTCCAAGGGCTCAGAGATTCTCTAGAAACCTAGTTCTGTTTTATTGTTAATGCAGGCAGGCTTTGTAGCCTTTTGTGACAGATCATTTAGATCTTTCAACAACATGCTAGCCTTTTAGCTTTTCCAGAAAGCATATTTTATTCACAATTTATTACAAATTGATAGTGTTAATTTTTTAAGATAAAATTTTCATCTCTACCTTACACTATGGGTCAGAATTTTTTTTCTGTAAAGGTCCAGATAATAAATATTTTATGCATTGCAGGTCATACCATCTCTGTTGTAATTATTCAACCCTGCCATTGTAGCATTAAGCAGCCATAGACAATACATAAATGAATGGGTGTGACTGTGTCCCAATAAAACTTTATGTACAAAAACAGTGATAGGCAGGATCTGGCCTGCAGGCCATAGTTTATGACCCCTGCCTTATACTCTACAAATTTTTAAAAACGTTCTGGAATCATATATTGAATTTAAAAAATGTCCTGGGATCAAGAGTTCTAGGATCACAAATTTTAAAAACCGCTTTCTACGACACAGTATGGTAGGAAAAGCATTATTTGGGGAATAAGACAACCAAAGCCCTAGTACTCTCTCTGGCACATAATTGGAGAAGTCACTCAATTTTTTGAGCAGTAGGCTCCTTGCCAGCTCTAAAATCCAAACCTGCTACATTTGAAAAAGTCTTAATATTTAGCCATAACCTTTGCTTAAACAAGTAACTGGGAACTTTGAGTTTAACACAGAACTTCAATCTAATGGTAGGGATATGTATGTATGGGGGTATTTTTTAAAACAGATAATCATTATGGTAACGTAAAAATAAGCATGTTGCAGTTTTAAGCGAGTATCTCAAATGCAGTATCAGTCCTGGTGACAGTCTACAGGTGATTCCTAAATGCTCCTTTGTTTGGTTTCTTCTGGCAATAACTTAATTTATTCACAATGTTCTGAAATGTTCTGTTCCACCATTATCGCAACTCTCCACAAAAAGAATTAAAAATGGGGCAGGGAGAGGACTTTGTAGTCCACTGCTGAGATTCTGTATCCACCCATTCAGTAAAGAGTTACAAGCCTCTCTAGCCTACTTTTTAAAGGATTACTGGAGGAGAAAGGATACTAAGGTACTGATTAACAGGGTAAAATATAACAAGCTCAAAATGCATAGTAAATAAAATACCAAGGTCAAAAGCCAAACTAACACATTTCTGTGGTTCTCATATTGGGACATATATTTAGCAAGAATATTGGTGTGCAAGATGAATATAAACAGTAAAGCCCTAGTTACGTCACTAACAAAGCAAACAGAATCTCATTGCATCCTAAATAACTACAGAAGCTATTTATGATTAGGATCATAGCTAAGCATCACATATGTGATATTTTAAAACAGTATCAGTACAGAAAAAAAATCAATAAATGAATAATATTCCAGAAAATGAAAATATTTTTGCTCCTATTTTAATTAATCTAGACCAAGTTAACTCTGACAATAAATCAGTCATTATACACACACATACACATACACACACACACATGCACACACAAACACACACATGTGCATACACTCTGGACGAAAAGTACTACATCTCATTTTTTTAAAACTATTGAACAATAGTTGTCAGGGAAGCTAATGGTGATCTTTTTTCCCCCTTCTGTTGGAAACCATAATATATAAATTAACTGATGTGATATTTAAAATGTGTATATTTGTTCATGAAGACAGTATTTTTTTTTTTAATTGTACTTCAGGTGAAGGCTTACAGAACAAATAGTTTCTCATGAAACAGTAGTACACATATTGTTTTATGACACTGGTTAACAACCCCACAACATGTCA